TCATCGGAGACATAAAAAAAATAATCATCTTCTCATGTTTAAAATTACCTCTTTGGGGAGAGAGGGGGCGTGGGGAAAGAGGACTAATAGGAGAATCCTCGCAAAATACTCTTTGCAGGCAGTAAGACGAATGGAGGAAACACTACAATATTCCTATGAACCCTTTCGGTTCTCACGATTAAAGTCCTTGCAAATCCTTTCATTTTTAAAAAGACCTTCCCGCCACTCCCCTTCTCCTCTCTTAAATACAGACACGTAGTCAGAATATCCCGCTGGAGATGGCTCCCAAGTTGAAACACGCTCCTAGGAAAAGCTCTCGTAGCTTTCGGCGGGGCTCCCCAAACCAGCAGGCTACCCCGTGTCCGCAGGTTTCGGCAGTCCCCATCTTTCTCTCCCTGCCCAAATCCTCCTCGCCAGTCCGAGGGGCTCCGTCGGGGCGCAGCGCTGCCTCTCGCTATTTGGCCGGGCAAGTGGGCGAATGGCAGATCAGCAGTTTCAGAAGAAAGTGTGGGGTTGATTATTGACTAAAAAGACTTTTTTTTCTTCCGATGCAACATTCACGGGATTGTTTGAAGCAAAACGCGTACGCGGGATTTTTGCCTCTCCTCTCCTCCTACGCTGGCCGCTTCCCCTTTCATGTGGTGCCTTCTCACTTATGCCATAAGGAGCAAGTGTTTTCTGTTTTAGTGCTCTGTTTACAGCTTTGGTGCACGAAGTCATAAATCTTGCATAGCCATAAATGACAAAAACCATTGGTATGCGCAAGAGGCCACCCCAGCCGTATAGTGCTTTTTATTTCTCGCTTCCCCCTCGCTTTGTTTGTGTTTAAAGATGACGCCGGGCTCCCTCGTGCTTTAAACGGACTGGTTACATTTGTAATGCCTTAATTAACGAAGTAATGTCAAATTTACACCTAAGTTTTATTCGGAGGTTCCACTTAATGCAGAACGTAGAGCCCCGTTAACGTCTGCCAGACCGGCAGGGTCTGAAACTTTGTTTAAGTTCTCGTTTGCACGGTCGCTGTCGTGTTTCTGTTGCAGGAAACTGGGGGGACTCCACCACCCCCAAAACCCGTGGCGTTGAGGAAAGAGGCGAGGGCCTTCCCCACCTCTGCCGCGGAAAGAAGGCGAAGGCGAGCTGTGAGGCTCCGGGCCCGCGTCCACGCGGGCTGACGCCCACACGTCCCCACGGGGGGCTGCGGGCACCCCGACCCGTCTGTGCAGCACATGTGTGTGTGTGAGCGCCTCTGTGCCCGTCCCGGGCGCTGGGGATATTTGGGGGGGGGACGGGACAGGAGGGTGTCTGTGTGTACATCTGTGTGTGTGTGCGCTCACGCATGCATGAGTTAATAATTAGTAACTCTAATGATTTCCAGCGTGGCTCTGAAAGCATCGCCCAGAGCGGGGATCCTGGTGGGCTTCTGTTGGCTCTCCGGACCCAGCCTCGGCTCTCCGGGCTTTGCTCCCCTCCCCGGCATTCAGCCGGGGCTGTGCGGGGCTCCTGGCCGTGAGGAGCGGCAGAGGGGCTATTCTGCAGCCACCTCCCAAGCCCACCGATAAGAGGGACAAACTCAAGGCCCCCCAGCAGCACCCCGGAGGCTGGTGAGAGCGACCCTTTGTGAGCGCCGTTTGTCTTCATTAGCATAATTTTCCTGGACTTTGGTGACGCCCGGGTGCGGGGGGGGAACCGCACTCCTTCACTGCCGCGCTCCTCCGCTCCCTCCCCAGCCCCCACCCTGCCCTAAGCTTCCCCAGGCGGTCGCCTTTCTTTCTTCCTTCCTTTTTTTTTTAAATTTTTTCTTTTTTTTTTTTTCTCCACTCCCCCCCTCCCCTCCACCCTTTCTCCTTCCCTCTCTCTCTTTCCTTTCCCAGAGCAGCCCTGGGAAACATCCCCGTCCTCCGTGCCCCGCGCAGGGGGAGGCCGGTACGCCGGGGACCGGCTCGGGGTAGGGTGGGCAGCCTCCAGCGTCAGGGGAGCAAGGAAGACGGGTGTTCGGAGCAACCATCCCCATCCGTGCGGGGCAGGGCTCGTCCCAGGTGCGGAGTAACTGAGCCGGTGCCCACCCCGCGGCCAAAGGGATCAGGCTGAAGCAGACAGCCCCTGCTCCTTGGGTTGTGTCGCCTCCAAAAAAAAAAAAAAAAAAAAAGAGAGGGAGAGAGCGAGAGAGCATGCTGGCTTCCGCCTCAGTCGTCAGAAGTTAAGGTAAGCAGGCCACAAATACGCTGCTATCAGTCGTGAATGGCGGAGTTTATGTCCCAGTGATTTATGACCGTAGACTTAAATGTCGGTTCAAGAAGAGTTCACAAGCTGGGGCTTCCTTCCAGGCAGTGACTGATACCCTTACACTTCATGTTCAGGCAGCTCTCTCTGCTCTTTTCCTCCCACCCCCCCACCTTCTCTCAACTTCATCTTTATCTTTCAGGAAATCTTTCAGGGGGGCTGCGCGATTTTTTGTCCTAGAGTCAGAGTTCGGGACTCGGCTGAGAGTTACAGGGCAAAGATCTGGTGTGCTTGGGAGGAGGGGGAAATGGAGGGAAGGAGAGGATAGGAGAGAGCTGAAGTGTGGAGTGGGGGAAGCCAAGCGAATTGCCTTCCCCAAGCAACTTCCATCTGCTGTCTCTGGGCCGTTTGGGTGGGGGGACAGAAGTTGGTAAATGATAGAGCTGTGTATTGCACAAACGGAGATGAAGCCGATAAACCGGGCATTGGAAAAATCGGGGGCCTATCTGTGTTTGTGAGACCTGGCCTTTTGTATTCGAGGGGGAGAGGAGAACTCTTCCCATCCCAGGCACCGGCTGGGGTGGTAAATCCACCCCGACCCTTGCTCCCCTCTCCCGTTAGGACGCTATTATTATCGTGATCGTTGTCGCTCTTAATCCCGCTATTCCCGCTTTCTCCAGGAATGACCAGGCTCTCCTCAGGTTACCCCCGCTTCTCCATAACTTTGTAGGAAGTGATTAACTTGGCGAAGCCAAACGTGGGATCTGATTTTTTTTTTTGCTTGCTGGCAGGCGGCCGAAACTTCAATAATATTTTTACTTCCAAGTAAAGTTGTCTATTGTCTGCGGGCCAGCAGCTGCGGGAGCATCCCCACTCCGCACTGCCCGTCCTGCCTGCGCCTCAAAACTTTCCAGCGGCCGAGGGAAGGCAAAATATTTGATGTCGCAATCATGAAAGGCGGGTGTCTTTGTAAAATCACCGCTGGCTGATTATTTCCTCCTTCTCCTCTGGTAGTGGTGTCTATATTCTCTCTTTCAAAGGAATTGAGAAAAATCACACCAGGCCTAGATAGCATCGGGAAGGAGAGGCGAGGAACTGGAAATTGTGTGCGCGCCTCAGATCTCCATCGCCTTATTAGCTTAATAGCATCCAAAGAGCTTGATTAGTGCAATAACAGCATAGCCGCTCTGCTGTAGGTGTATTGCCTTCATTTTGTTACGATCTAACAAAAGGAGTACTGTTTTCTAAGAACCTGTATAACTTGAAAGGCGTAGAATGAGCTCGTTTGGTGCATATGTTGTGTAAGGCTTTTCGCCCCTAAGCATTTGTCCTCGTTAGGTGTTTTGGGGGGGGAAATATCCAGCTGTTTAAGTACAGGGAAAGTGGTAAAAGAAAAGAGAGGCTCTTCTGATCTGAAAAGACATGATTATTTGCCAGCAAGAGGGTAGGGGACGGTGAGGAACACACTTCAATTTCTGAGAACAATGTGAGTGCGTGTGGAAACAGCTCCTAGATCGGAGGTTACGCACAGGTCTTCTCTCATTAATACGGGTGATTCTTTAATTGGTTATTTTCAAGCAGGTGACCAGTAGACTTTAATCTGGGGAGAGAGGGGGGGTTGTTTGGAGGGGGGGAAATCCCAGAAAGAAAGGAGGATGGGTGACCAAAAAAAAAAGGGGAGCGGGGGGGGGGGGGGGGGGAAGGGATTCGCCCGGGCAGGAGAAGCATTCTCTGGGTTTGTGTCCACCCTCTCCCCAGCCAAGTGACCCTCATACATCAAATTACATAGCAGTTTCCAAGACAGAACCTATTATCGCTAAGTTGGAAGGAAAGTTCAAGCCGTGGTCATGGAGATGAACGCTGGTTTTTCAGGTTCCTGGTGTTTTTTTCCCCCAATCCATCATGTTTTAACAGGTAGGATCTGGCTGATTCCACGAAAAGTTAGTGTCTTGAAAATAAGCGCTGGAAAAGAAAAAAACCAACCACGGGCGAAGCTCCCAGCTTGCCCCTGCTGGCCTCGCAGAAGGGGCTTTGTGCAGCGGCGGGTGCAGTTAAGGCTCCAGACCCAGTCACGAGTGGGAGGAGGGCTCGGGCACTCCGGGGCTGAGAGGGAGCCGCTGCGGGCGTCGGTCGGGGCTTGCCCGCGCAGAAACCGCTGCTGCCGGCGTGCATGACCTGGCCGTTTCGGGTTGGGGTGCGGGCACGGAGGGGAGAAGGTGCTTTGTTTATTTTCCTATCGAGCATTTCATAGACAAGCTAAAATCCATCACTTGGAAACGGGGTGTTTACATATCCCTGCCTAGGGAACCTTTCCACCCCTCTCCTGCCCCCTGCCACACGTAGACAGGAACAATCTCATGTATTTCTTTGAAGTTGTATAGAGAGTCGTAACCAGGAGAGAAAGGCTAAAAATAAAACGACATTGGTTACAGGAGAGAGTTTGATCTTAGAAGTAAGAGCCCACCCCCTTTCCATTACTGATTCCTCGATCACCCTTATCTCAGCGACCAGTATTAAAACAGCCTCTTGGTGATAAACGATCAAACCCCCTTGCTCTATTTCTTAAGAAGAAATAAAGAAATAACCCTAGAAAGCCCATATCCCGGTGCAGCAAAGCACATATTTGTAGCTGCCAGTAAATGCTCTGCGCCTGAGGCCAAGTCATGCTGCTAAATATTGCTGACCACTTTTTCTTTTATGGCTTTCATGTCACTTAGCTATTGAAAGTAAGATGGATTTGTACCATTTCTTCACCCTGCTCTGCTCTCCCCACACCCCAGGTCTGCCTGGAGAGGCCATTGGAGGAAGAACGCCACGTGACAGAGGGGTGCCAATGTTATTCTCCAAGGGTGTCAAGACCCTGTCAGTTTGCGAAATAAATATTGGGAAACAACGAAATGCAAAAAGCGACCTACTACGACAGCTCTGCAATCTATGGTGCCTACCCCTACCAAGGAGCAAATGGTTTCACTTATAATGCGAGTCAGCAGCAATATCCTCCATCTTCATCACTTGTGGAAACTGAGTACCACCGCCCTGCGTGCTCCCTCCAGTCCCCTGGCAGCTCTGTGTCCCACCACAAGGCCAATGACATCAGTGAGAGTTGCATGAGGACCCTCCCCAGCCAGCCTCTCCAGCCTCCTGGCCTCACTGACCCACAGGCTCCACCGCAGCCACCTCCAGCCCAGCAGGCACAACCTCCACCTCCATCCTCCACCTCACCATCTCAAAATGCCAGCAGCAACCCTGCCCCAGCCAACCCCACCAAGAGCCCAGCTCTTAACTCACCCACCGTGTCCAAACAGATATTCCCGTGGATGAAAGAGTCTCGACAAAACACAAAGCAAAAAACCAGCAGTTCCAGTTCAGGTATGAAACATGCTCCCCCTCTCCCTGGGTACCCCTTGGCTGGCTATGCATCTGGTAGGGTGGAGGGCTGTCTCTACCCATCTTCACTTCAGGGAAGGGAGGGCGGGGGCTTTTTTGCTCTCTGAGTTGACCGCCTTAAGCTTTTGGAAAGGGGTTGCTGTCACTCAGCTTGTTCACTGAGGGGAGTCAGTGAACAAATCACCCCATGCAAAGCTTTTCCAGCCTTGCAGAATAGGTCCAAATTGACTTTGCTTCCTAGTGGCTGAACCACTTGTGCCGTCCCGCATCCATTGCATTTCCTAGGTAATCCCCCCACCAGTAAATCACGTCAGTGTGGAGCAGCCCAGGCCTTAAGCCAGAGACTTGTCCCGAGTACTTTGTTGGCATGGTGCTGTTAGATTAATAAGACAGTGACCTATCTCTGCTGAAGTGTAACGGGAATAAAATAGCTCATAATCACATCCAGACAGGATCAATGCCCTGCATGCAGTCAGAACCTCTTCCTATTTTAATAAGCTGATTGGCAAAGTTACAAGCCTGGTAAACAGAAATCATTCTGGAGTGCCATAAACTTCAGCCCATAAAACATTATTTGAGGGATGGAAGTGTATATCAATACTTTTATTACTGAAGGAAACCTAAATTGATAACACCAGTGCTAGCTCCAATGCCCAGGAATTGGGTTTATTCTGACTTCTTCCTCTTTTTCACTTAAGTGTGCCTTGGAAAGAGAGTCCAAAACTTTAGCGATGGGCTTTGCCAGTCTGCTTTTTAAAGTCATGGTAACACTGCTGTTTACAGCCTTCCATATCATGTATTTATTTTATTAAAAAGCAGTAATGTTTAAATGTATCTATATGCCTATCTGCAAGCCTAGCCACTGTAGGATACTTCCCAATCACTACCATATGTTTATGCCATACACTAGACATGATAAAAACATACTGTCAATTCTATGTTTTTATGTTAAAATTTTATACCGTAGATACCCAATTTTCAGGCATTTCTAGCTTATATGTATATATATATCTGAAATGGTATATTAAATGGTTTTCAGAAAAAGAGAGCTTCAGGTCTTTACAGCAATGGAGAACAGCTAGTTCTTGAAGACCATGATCACACTGTTAGCAGAGCCATGGGTTCACCTTCAGACTTTCTAAACCTCACTGTATTTCCCTAAGCCTTTCTTGCTCCTTTATGCCAAGTTCAAGATATGTTGCATGCTGTCATTCTTAAAGTAAGCAAGTGTAGTCATATAAGTGACACCGATGAGGTGAAGGAAGTCTTTTGATGCTTGTTGCTTGGCACGATTGAGCTCATGCCGTGGGGGAGAACTCATTGCACACATGGGCATCCATCTTGTGCTTGAGAGCTGGACTCCCCAGTGCTGGTGGTGTTGGCCATTTTCTCATGTTGCCATGTCTAGGTTTGCCATGCTGATTGTGTTCTTTGTGTGATTTACATAGGTGAGAGTTGTGCTGGTGATAAAAGCCCTCCGGGGCAAGCCTCCTCTAAGCGAGCTCGTACAGCTTACACAAGTGCCCAGCTGGTAGAACTGGAAAAGGAGTTCCACTTCAATAGGTACCTTTGCAGGCCACGAAGGGTAGAAATGGCTAATTTGCTCAATCTCACAGAAAGACAGATCAAAATCTGGTTTCAAAACCGCAGAATGAAATACAAAAAGGATCAAAAGGGCAAAGGCATGATGACCTCTTCAGGAGGACAGTCCCCAAGCAGAAGCCCTGTCCCTCCAGCTACTGGGGGATATCTAAACTCTATGCATTCTTTAGTAAACAGCGTCCCCTACGAGCCCCAGTCGCCTCCGCCATTTAACAAGCCTCATCAAAACACCTATGGCATCCCTGCATCGTATACCACTCCTCTTAATAATTGCCCACCTCCTCAAAAGAGATACACGGGAACGGCAGCTGTGACACCTGAATACGATACTCATCCTCTTCAAGGCAACGGTTATGGGAATCCACATATACAGGGAAGCCCCGTCTATGTAGGGGGCAACTACGTGGAGACCATGACCAATTCTGGGCCTTCCATCTTTGGTCTAACTCATCTCCCTCATCCTCCCTCTGCCAACATGGACTACAGCGGGGCTGGGCCAATGGGCAACAATCACCACCATGGACCTTGTGATCCACATCCAACATACACAGACCTTACTGCTCACCATCCTTCTCAGGGAAGAATTCAGGAAGCGCCCAAACTCACCCATCTGTAAGAGACAGGAGTCACTAAGTGGAACACCAAGCCCCCAAGTTTTGGAAAGTACTCATCCCTTCCCTTCTCTTTCTCCTCCCCCTATCATGTGCCCTCCCCTCCCCTTCTCGTTTCTTTTGTTCATTTTGGTTTGGTTTGTTTCCTTTCGTAAAAGCGTTTTCTAGTTTATGTGACGTAGCAATATTTGTTGCTTGAATTGCTCTATAGTTTCACTAGTGGATATTTATCTTCTTGAACTGTAGCCTTGTGTCTCACTTTGCGAGTATGCAGAGGCTTTATACTTTACCTTCTACACTTTTATCAAAACAGGGTATATGAACAAATTTTCTATAAAAGGAATTCTTAAATGTGAATTTGTTCGTACATGATTGATCCCACGGGGAAGCAATTTTTTTTATTGCACTTCTTTTAAATAGCAAGAAAGACATCACAAGCGCTTGGACAGGGCCTCCCTGGACAGTTATTGATACGTGTAAGTCTTTCAATGTGTGTATGCTGGTGAACATTCAGATTTATTTATATTTTTTTTTGCAAACATTGAATAATCTAAGTGTTTAAAATTTTATTTATCCCCATTTGTTCATATTTATATATATATAAAAAATCTGTACCCTGAATATTCAGGCGGTATTTACCTGGCCATATGTTAGATGGCATATCGGCACGTGTTGGAAATATCATTTGAAAGGAAACTAGTAGCTCCTTTTATTAAATATGGTGATAACGCTGAAGATGATGATGCAATAAAATCTGGGAAAAAAGATCGCGGTTTGAATACTTTATGCTTGTAACATCCAGCTAGGTGAAAAGCGTGTGAAGCTGAAAAGGCTAGATTTGTTTTGAAAGTTATACATTCCTTGCTGCTCACGTTCTGGAAAAAAAAAATAAAGTTTTTATTCTGAATAAGAAAGAGTTAAGAACATGTTCTTCACAGCTCAGGGGAAGGGAGAGCCCTTCATGACGTGGGGAGATAGGAAACTCGTCTGTAAACTCACACGAGGATCTGATCGCCCACCCGAAGGGCTCCGCGAAGCCTTTACAGCATTTCTTAGGCATGGAGAGAGAGTTTTCTTTGCCTCTCCCTTTTCCCTCTGTGTCTCTCTTTTTTTTTCTTTCCTCCAGCGAGGCTTCAGGGTCCGTGGCTGCTGCCTCCTCCCGCACCCGCTGCGCGGTGCCCGCCCGGCGCGGAGGGCAGGCGGGCGCAGATCGCCCCCTCCCCGCGGGGTCTGAGGGGGGACCGACGGCGGAGCAGCGCGAGGAGGCCAGCGGGGGTGTGTGCGTGTATGTGTGCACAAGGGTGTGTGTGAAGCACATGGGAGCAGAGCTCAGGATAAAGCTCCGCGTGGGTGCTGGCGCGGAGGGGTCGCCTGGTCCCTGGGCTGGCCCGCTGTGGAAAGAGGGGAGCCGAGAGACGGGGCTCCGGAGCCCCGCCAGCACTGGGGAGCAGTGGTGGTAGAGAAGGGTCCGTCCGAACAGCGAATGCGGCTGGGGCGTGGATGTGCACTCTGCTACTCCTTCAACTCGCCATCCCGGCCGTCGTTTTTTCCTTTTCCTTTAAAAAGCGGATTTTCCTTTTTTTACCTTTTTTTTTTTAATAATTAATATTTTTATTATTTTATTTGGGGCTTGTTTCATTCTTGCTGAGCCGTCTTTCCTCCCATCGTAACCCGAAGCTGTGGGGGAGGGGAGCCTTGTGTTCCCTTTCTTCCCTCGTGGGGGTGTGGATGTGTGTGCGTGTGTGTTTGTATCGCAGGAGGGGGACACGGTACTGTAGAAGGGCGACTGTCCCGGCCCCAAACGGGCACCCGTAGGGGTCTCCGGTCCGAATCAGCTCGAGGTAGAAGGGGAAACCCACAAGCTTGTGTTTAAATCCCATTTTTCTTCCTTTCAGGCGAAATGTCCATAATTTTCAGATTGAAACTTGAAAGATAAATCAAAACGGACCTTAATATACTAGGTAAAATATACCCCTGCATGTTTATAAAGACATATTCCTATGCTATGTAGATAATAACGCACGCTGTTCACCATCTGTATCTTTTAGAGCACAGAAAAAAAATGTCGCCATTTTGGTCTCATACTGAAATATTATTAATCTTTGGGCTTTATCTTGTTCCCAGAACCATCCTTGCCTGATGCTGAAACATTGTCATGCATCCGTGAATCTATACAGAGCTTTTCTGCATAAATAGATAAAGCGTGCTCGGTCAAAGAAAAGAACAGCAAATAGATTTATGCCGTGCTGTTTATTGTATATGTAGACATGTAACCGTGGAAAGACAGGCTATGTAGGCTGATATTTTTAATTGAAAACTGATTACTACCCAATACAGACCAAAGACTGATTATTATTTTTGTAGGCGAAGGAAGCATTTTTGCCACATTGCAAGACATTGCTCGTTTCAAAGGAGCCCGTATAAAATTCAAGCCGCCCCCCCACCTCTCGAATCAGTTAGGTTAGATACAACAAAAGGTAACGGTACATTCACTATACTTACTTCGTGGTTCCTTTAGCACCACGAGTTACATTAAGGAAAATGCTCAAAAAGAAGGAATTTGGCGTTTTACTCCCCTCCCACCCGAAGAAAGAAAAATACAGACGATTTTGTCCCCTTCTTTCCATAAACAGTATTAAATCCCTTCTTCGGACCCTGTAGGTTGCACATAAGAATTTGTAATTTCGCATTTAAGATTCGCCCGATTAAAAGATCCCCCTGGAGGCAGCAGTAATTGATTTCCCCAAGAATTTTGCGTCCTCTCGCCAAAGGTTTTGTTCCAGGTGGTTTTTGTATTAGACTAACCACAAGAAACAAATGTGCAGAATAGAGACACCCACACAGGTTTTACTCACAAAGCCTGGTTAAAGTCCAAACCTCTCTCTTTATTATTTGTCATCCTGCTGTTAATCCCAATATTTTCCAGAGGGGAAAAAAATTAAAGAAAAGAAAAAGAAAAACCCGACCCCAGCGTAGGCACCAAGAAGTAAAATAAAACTGGACTTTCCCCAGCAGCTCAGTCCTCTGCCAGCATATTTTAAAAGCAGTTTTTTGTCTTGTTTACTTGCGTTTCTTGCTCTGCCTCTTTTCTCGGCCACATTTGATCTTGGAAAGACCAAGAAGCTTTAAATGTGTTCTTAAGGGCCAGTAAGCTGTCAAACCTTTTGGCGGCCAAGATTGATCGCGCACAGACACCACCAGAGCTTTGTTTGGACTAAAAGCAAGAAAATTAAACCCCTTGCATTTTCCAACAGCATCGATATTTGTAAGTCGTCCCTTTTGAGGGATTAAATGACAAGTCTCGTTCTATATTTTATTTAAACAAGCAACCACCAAAAAGCCCATTTAAAGCCTCCCGGCCCCTCCCCTCCCCCTCTCTCCAATGCCTCGCAGATATGCTACATCTTGTGGGTGCATTAACTTAAAACCTATTTTTTAAATGCACTTCGTGTAGACTGGACGCAGACTGAACCGCTGAGTGCTTGGGGTCTTGTTTTCTCTTTCCTCCCCCCCCCTTATTTTTTTTCCTTAGTAATTACGAAGACGGTTGCCGACCCGTTTGGCAACTCCGAAAATAAAGCGAGACGGCACCTCATCGCGCTGGCTATCGTTCCTGGCTCCTGGAGGACGCGGAGAGCGACTCGGAAGCGACTTCCCCTCGGCCCCCGGCGCACCCTATCCTGCTGGGCACTCTGGGCTCCGCGGGAAAGCAAGTCCCGTCCAGGCTGCCCAGGGCGGCTGTGACCATAGGATTCAGCGGGCTGGTGACTGTGGCCATCATTGTCATCGCTCTTCCTCTCGCTTCGGTCTGGTTGGAAAACTGTGCCCAAAGCATCCAAATTCGGGACTTGTCTCGACCTGGCAGGGGCGAATGGAGACGGCGGCGGCGAGAGCCAAGCGTCGGAAGCGAATGCCGTGCCTCAAGTCATAACCCCGCAGCGTTTTCGCCCTGCCTGGCCCCGTGAAAACAAACCCGCTACCAGCTCATATATTTCCTGGTAATCGAAAATACTCACCAGACCCAGCCTACTACGGTTATTAAGCAAATTATGCCAGCAACCGGGAGTATCGTTTGCAAGCTAAGGCACGGGATACATATTTTTTTTTTAAGAGGCAACAGCCAGACACGTTTACAGCCTCGCCATTTGGCTCACCCAGAGAGGTTCTCCTAGAGTTATGTTTTACGGTCCAATCCCGGGAAGCCAACTGGAGAAGGGAAGTCATGAAGCACCGGGGCTGCTGTCTATGCGACTCTTCCCCTAGAAGCAGGGTTGCTGAGGAAGATCCTGATAAACACTGGCTCAGCACCGGCGAGGAATTGTTCTCCGTACTGTACCCCCGTTAGCCACCAAAAAAGAAAAAAAAATAAAAAAGAAGGAAAAAAGGGGAGGGGGGAAGAAAGGGAAAAAATAATCGAGAAAACAAAAAGAAAAAAAAGGAAAAAGAAAAGAAATAAAAAGGACCCCATGGAGGCTGAGTAGGGAAGGAGAACGGGAAGGAGAAACTAGTTTTGGAGGAAGTGCTATTCCTAGGAAAAAATCAGGACCCTCTGCTTCCCACTCCTGCCTGGGTGTAACTTCTTATGCGGGGGCCTGACGGTGTCAAAACTTTAAAGATTAATGGATTACTTTGTTAATGACTCAAGGCGTCAGATTGAGGTGCTTAAATGATTTGTGAGGTGCAAAGCGTTTTCCTGACAGTCCCAAACAATGAGAGAAGAGTGTGCGGGTGGATGCGAGGGAGGCTGCAGGACAAGCAGCCACACACACACACACACACACTTGCGCACACACACACACTCGCAGCCTCTCACACAAATATATCCACGCACACGCACCCTCCCCCCACCCCCGATCACTTCAGATTAGGACGCCAAGGGGATAGATACTCGACATATCATTTCCCTCTTTAAAAAAAGTGTAAATAAAGCCTTTCTGGCCCCCAATGAGGCGTTCCTTCCCGACTTTTTTGGATCAATCAAACAGACAGTGGCTTCTTTTGATTAAAGCCCAAATTGTCATTGGGCAGAGGCAATCATGTGACAGCCAATTCGGTCCAATTTCAACCTTGTCTCCATGAATTCAATAGTTTAATAGTAGCACGGTCCCCATACGGCTGTAATCAGTGAATTAGAAAAAAAACACCCCACCAGCGATCTTCTATGCTATATTTTTTTCTCCTCTCTCTCCTTTTTCTTGGGCCTTCCCCCCCCGAGCCCCCTGAATCCGAGGGAACTTTTTCTCCGCGGGGGCTGCCAGTTGAAGGCCATGAATTTCGCATTTGAGCGAGAGATCGGTTTTATCAATAGCCAGCCATCACTTGCTGAGTGCCTGACATCTTTTCCCCCTGTCGGTGATACATTTCAAAGTTCATCAATCAAGAACTCGACGCTTTCACACTCGACACTGATTCCTCCTCCTTTCGAGCAGACCATCCCCAGCCTGAACCCCGGCAGCCACCCTCGCCACAGCGGCGGCGGTCGCCCCAAGGCGAGCCCCCGCGGCCGCAGCGGCAGCCCGGGCCCCGCCGGCGCCCCGCCGCCCCCGGAGTACCCCTGGATGAAAGAGAAAAAGGCGTCCAAGCGATCCGCGCTGCCGCCCGCCTCGGCCTCCGCCTCAGCCGCTGGACCTGCCTGCCTCAGCCACAAAGGTCAGTCCAAAGACGTGCCGCCGGCCCCGCCGGGCCGCTATTTCGGCTCCCCGCATCCCCCTGGCTTCGCGGGGGGACGAGAAGGAGGGCGGGCGGGCGGGAAGGACGGAGCTGGCGGTGATCGCTGGAAACCCAAACTTTCCCCAAACTTGCTTAATGCGGGATGATTTATTTGAGTTGGAGCTGACCTCTCTTGTCTCGCCGTCCTAGAGTTAGGATATTTGACAGTAATGAAGAGTGATAGATTGCTCCCGCTCAGCTAAGCAGCTGATGCATTAATTATAAATTGCGGTATGGCTAATATAAAGTTTGCTCTGGTGTGGGGAGGTTGGGGAGCTGGAGGCAGCGATTTGGCAGAGGTGGCCGAGGGGCA